TATCATTTCTTCTCCAGCATTTGAAAAGCCCCCAACTATCCTTGCCCCAATTGAAGGGCTCGAATATTTTTGTAATTTGTCTGCCAAGCAGTTTCATTCAGAGAAATATTTTTTGTATATTTCTGGGGCAGCTAACGAGGGTCGATATTATGGTCAAACGTCAATATTATTAAATATAAATGCCGCAAACAAATTCGGAGGGTTGACTGATGAAAAGAGCCGCGCGAGTTGTTTTGCTTTTTGCTTTTTTTGGTACGTTTATTTTTGTTTGTGTCTTAAACGCGGACGCGACATTGCGTGATGAACAAACGTCGAGCATTTCTCAATGAGATCAGAAGAATCATCAGGGATATAGCTGGGTGACGGAGGGGGCAGAGGCCCTGGCGGGGGTAGCCGAGCACCTAAAAACCAAAATGAAATGAAATGACATGACGTGTTGTTATTAAGCCGCATAATCAAAATAAAAACAAAGCCCCCGAAAGCAGCCAACAATTTTTATGAATGAAAAGGAGACGTCCGGAGTCCGGTCGATGTCTGGGTTACCTACTAGAGAGGCCCCATGCCGCCATGCCATACCTGAGGGCCACTCCCCGATCGCGGGGCACACTGGCGCACAAGTCTACATTTATTGGAGCTGCAGAAGGCTGGAAAAATCATGAAGGTTCGATTAATATTCGAACTGGATGTGAATTTGAGTTGACTTCGAACCAGTGTGGCGGCGTCGGCAGCGTCGGCAGCTTCAAGGCGATTAGCGAAAAGCGGTAAATGTTGTGTTAAACCTCAATTAAGAGCGAGGAAATTCAGGTAGAGAGAGCCGAGTGCCGAGTGCCGAGAGCCGCCAACAGGATGTTAAACTCTTTTGGGCAATTTGAATCCGCTTTGACTGACGCCACACGCCAGGGTCAGATTTAAGAATTTACGACTGATCCAACAGGGAGGGTCTCTGGTCTCCACCTCGCCATCGCCATCGCCTCGCCCTGCCAACTGCTAAATGATCTCACACAGACAGCGGTGGAGAGAATGGCGCCTAGAAGGAGTCCAGGGCAGCAGATCTTGGCTGTGCCTCTTCTCCTACTCCTCCTCTTCCTTTTCCTTTTCCTCTGTTTCTGATTCTGATTCTGCCTTTGCCTGTTACTCCATCTCCTTCTCCTTCTGTTTGGCTGTGACTGTGACTGGTGACTCCCCTCGTTCCATCGTTAAGTGCTTTTTAATTTGTTTGCATTCGGAATCTGAATCAGAGAATTCCCTGTGTTCCGCTTTTATCGAGAATCAAGTGAGCTGAGTGCAATTACGACACCTTCAAAAAGCCAAACGCACAGGGATACGCACAGGGCGCACAAGGGAAAGGAGAGGCATCCCATCCTCTCGCGACCTCATCCTCAGGCACTTAAGCTCATCCCCAGGGGGTTGTTGGCTCTCCTGCCACCGTCACAAGCACCCACCCACCCAACCACCCACTCATTCCCATCGAGGCCAGGCAGTGGTGGTGGTTGGTTGGTTGGTTGGTTGGTTGGTGGCTGCTTGCTGGTAGCTGGTATCACGATTGTCTGTTTTGGCGAGTGGCAATGGCTAATTAAAATTACTTTCCAGGGCGTCACTCTGAAATTTACACGCAGCTCCCATCGAGGGTGCTGAGACCTCACAAATGTGCGACGGGGGTGTGGAGTGGGGCAGAGAGTGCCACATTAATGGTCAGTTGGTCATTTTGTAGCCACTTTTAATGAGAGTCCCAGGTCGCAGGTCCCAAGTCGCTGGTCCCATAGCCATTCATTTGCTTGGGAAAAATACCTTCCCGCTCCAGCCAACTGTGTATTTGTCATTTTTAATGTCTTTTTAAATAATTTCGTGTGGCTGATGGCGAGAAAGGTGAAATACACTCCAACCGAATGGGTTTAGTGGATCGCTCGTTGCGTTTTACTTGATCTATGGCTTGTCCGTTCCATCCGAACCGTTGCCTTTCACTTGAGTAATTGCCATCCAAAATGTTTTTATGATGTGTTCGTTGCGTTACTCTATTCGTTTGACTCCCAAGAGATCGGTTGGGCATATACGAGTATTGAATTCTTTTATTTTTGATGCTTAATATTATAAATTATTATATCTGCGCTGATTCTTACACATTAAATATTATTTAGATAAAATATAAAAATAAAAAATAGAGTCAGACATTACAGATTATTTATGCCTGCGTACAATAAACAAATTCAATGAAATAATCCCATTGTGGAGATATTTTAAATATATTTTATAAATATTTAAAATAGAAGTACTGGGTAAGTATTTTCTTATTCATTTTTAAGCAGAATAATAATTGAATGTCTCTCCCTAATTGAACCAAAAATAAAATATATAAAACAAACAGAATTTCCTGCCCTATAAGAGCATTTTAGTTTCGTTTCTATCGTCGTGTATTTTTCCCCTTTTTTTTTGCTCGCTTCCATCTCATCTTTAATTAACTTATTTTTCTGGGCTGTGTAATATCTTTCGCTTTGCCATGGGGATTGAGTGATGGCGGAATGACCGGGGTGGGGGGTCCATTGAGTGAGCAGCAAGTGCCGTTAGTTAGTTGAGCTATCGTTTCAACAAAATGGCGGCCAAAGCTGGAAAATTTCGTATGCAAGGGCGGGGGCGAAAGTCAAGCTGCCCCTCATTAGCAGGCGACGTAAAGGCTGCAAGACAAATTGTTGTCACCTTTTTTATGGGAATCTAATTAATGTTGAAAGGCGTTGGAGACCCCTAGCAGGTATGGACAAGAAGTGGAAAACTGTGTAAAATAATTTAGAAAATAAATAGAATATATCTAAAATTAGCTTAAAATGCCTGAGATATGCGTCTTGGCTTGAATAAGTGCTAAATAAAATCAGCGATAGTTTATCCTATTTGTTCAAGGAATATTTTTTATTACGCAATTTTAGACTAAAAATTAAAATTATTTAAGGCTTACAACTTTTAAGAATATTTTTGGTCTTTTTATTGTGCTATAAATATTTTGATTTATTACTTACAAAACCATATGTTTACTTAAATAAATTTTAAAAGTACTCAAACAAAATACCGTTTATATTTATGTACATGCTTTAATGTACCTGTACTTGTGTTCCTTCTGTCAGACGAGTACCATAAACAGGATGCTCTGTTACCCAATAATTGTAAGCTTAAAATATTCCACGAATAAATAATTAAATGTAATAATTAAATAAAGTAAAAACCCGCCTGAATATGGAAATACTGAGAGAGCATCCAACGCCACATGAACTGATAGGGGATGTAAAAAGTTTTCTTTATGATGCCCTGATCCCCTGTCGGGATCATTTCTTCCCTTCAGCCTCGTTTCACCCCTTTCAAACGCAAACCTGATCGATTCTCACATTGTTAACAAGCTTATAAAAGTTGGAAAGTAACACACATACATTCATATGTATTTACATATACAGATAGATTGTTAGCGGATCATTCCTGGAACTACTTTCGATGGCCATTGAAACAGGAACTTGTCCCCACTCGGGGGATGCAGTTCCAACAAATAATTTCAGACAATTGCTGTCATTGTCGTTTTTTTTGTTTGTAATGAAGCCATTTTTAAGAGCAGCAACATGCAACAACGGGCAAAGCATCCGCCTCCAGGCGCCAGGGGCTGGACTCCACGAGAGTGCGGCCCAGCCCAGCCCAGCCCAGCCCCCCACCCTCCACTCAACTTGGCTGGGGGCAGCATAGTTGCCATAAACTAGTTGCCAGGCCTCTGAGCAACATTAGGATTAGGCAGCAAATTGACAATGATACAAGAGGACGAAGGAGGAGAAGAAGTTGGGAGAGCAATACACACACACACACACACACACACTTAGAGTGTGACAGCTTGGGTCTGGGTGGGAGAGCGGGAGGGAACAGCGGGCATCATTTAACTGCTGCCAATTTACTGTTTAAATGCCAAACAAAAAGTGTTAACAAGCGCAAAAATAACAAAAGACAAACAGCAACAGCCACAATTAGAGAGGCAGTGAGAGAGTGAGAGAGAGAGAGAGAGAGAGAGAGAGGGAGAGAATAAGAGGCGATTATTTCGGTAAGACAATGTCTTGGGCAAGAGCGAGTCAGATATACATATATTTATGCTCCATCCCGTATGTCTCTTTCTGATTGTGCATGTGTGTTGGTGTGTGGTGTGCTGGTGTGTGTGTGTGTGCATGACAGTGAACCAGTTTCAGGGGGCGTGGCCTGGCCAGATACAGCCTGGAGAAATAGGGTTGACAGCATCCCATATCCCAGCCACATCCACATCCATCCCATCCATCCCATCCATCCATCCATCTTGCTGTCTGTCCATCAGAGACAACAACAACCACAGCAAGAGCGCGCGCGTGGCTTGCCATAAAAGTGTTGAGTTGAGTTCGCAGCTGCTATAAAAAGTTTATGGCTATGGGCAGAGGATCAGCTTTTGGGCTGGCTAAGGAGTTTGCTAAATATGGGGGGAATCTCTATGGGGGGAAAAATAATTGGGCAATTAAATTAAGTGAAGTAATTAAATAATGTACTTGTAATAACTTAAACTTTTGTGAGAATTTTATGGAAACCCCCCCAGATATTAAAAAAGAAAAGTTTCCAAAAAATAAATAAAACTCAAATAAATTATTTAGAGGAAAATTCAATTATTAAAAATCCTGAAGATATATGTACATTTAATATGGAAACGCTTTCGCTATGGAGCCATAAAAGTAACCGTATCTGGTCCGTGGTGCGTGCTCCGCGGCCATTGCCAGGCGGAAACTCACCACGACAGAGAGACACAGACAGAGACACAACTACGCTGCTGGCTGCTGGCTGCTGATTGAAGCCTAATGAATGTCAATTGCCGCCAATTACGACCAATAAATGCGGGCAATAGACACAAGGAAGGAAGGAGAGCAGAGCGCGCACACACAAGCATTGCAGAGAGAGGGCGAGAGCGAGAGAGCGGAGAGAGCGCGCGCGCACAGAACGAACAAACAACGCATGGAACTGGAACTCACCACGCCAGGCCAGGCAGCCCACTCGGCCTCAAGTGCGAGCGGGACGACGACAGGTGGCAGCGCACCTCTGAGTGGCGTGGCTGTGAGCCAGCCAGGCTGGCTCAACTGGTTTCTGCCGGCTGCCGACAGCTGCTGCTGCTGCCACTGCCACTGCCACCGGGCCGGGTCGGGTCGGGCCGGGCCTGGTTGAGTGACTGAGCCGGGTCCGTGCTTCAGTTTCGGTCGAAATCCACAGGCGAGCGGTTGTCCACACCGGCTCTGGTTCGCGGCAGACAAGCAGACAAGTTACGACTTCAGAAGAGCCAGGCAGCGGCAGCAGCGGCAGCAGCTAGTAGCAGTAACAGTAAAAGCGAAAAACTCGTAACATTAACAGTTATCGAGTGGCAGAGTGGCAGAGGGAAGACGAAAGACGAAAGAAAGCCCATTGAAAGTTGACTCGAAAACGCGCGTGATATATAACATATATATTTTTTGTTGTTGTGCCCCAATAAAGTGAGCAGTGTGTGTGTGCGCGAGGGGGAGGAGCAGGCACAGGGACAGGGAGAGCGAGCAGACACACACATGACCACAATGCCACCGGAAATGTCCGCAGCAACGGCAGCTCCCGTTGGCACCGCACCCAGTCCGGCCATTGCCGTCGGCGGCGGCATGCCGCGCGATTCACCGCCCGGAGGTGGCGCCGTGGCAATTGCCACCACCAGCCCCAATGCGACCAGCACCACCACCACGCAGGCGACACGCTCCCGCTTTATGATCACCGACATTCTGGCTGGCAGTGCGGCTGCCGCGGCTGCTGCGGCGGCGGCGGCAGCAGCTGCAATGGCAGCGGCCTCCGCGGGCCATGACACCGATTGCTACGGCAGGGAGAGGGAGCGGGAGCGGGAACGGGACAGGGAGCGGGAGCGGGAGCAGGCGGCAGCAGCGGTGGCCGCCCATCATCATCACCAGCAGCAGCAGCAACAGCATCAGCAGGCCGCCCTCCAGCAGTACATTGTGCAACAGCAGCAGCTCCTCCGCTTCGAGCGGGAAAGGGAACGGGAGCGGGAGCGGGAGAGGGAGCGAGAACACTTCAGGGAGCGCCACTCCCCGCCAGCGAATCCTGCGCTGGGCTACCACCATCAGATGGCGCCCCATCTACTGGCCCACTTTCCGCCCTCCCACTACGCCGTGCTCCAGCAGCAGCAGCAACAGCAACAACAGCAACAGCAGCAGCAACATCCGCATTCGCATCCGCATCATCTTCAGCAGCAGCTGGAGCGGGAACGACTGGAGGCACTGCATCGGCATGGAGTGGCAGTGGCAGTGGGAGCCGGTGTCCATCTGGAGCCTCATCACAATCAGCATCTCCACCATGCGGCTCATCCACATCACGATGAGCGATCACGTTCCCCCTTGATGTTGCAACAAATTGGAAACAATAACAACAACAACAACAACAACAATAGCAGCTCCAACAACAACAACAATAACAATAACAACAATAGTTCGAACAGCAACAACAACAACAATAATAATAATAGCAATAATAATGGAAGTGGAAGCGGAATGATGCTGGGAGGAGCGGGAAGCAGCATCAGCGGCGACCAGGCCAGCACCATCGACGACAGCGACAGCGACGATTGCGGTAAGCTAGAATCGGTATAAATATTCCAAGTCTATAAGGGATATAGATCCATGGAGTGCCATGGGCTAGAGTGGAGTTCTGAGATAAATAGATAAATACAGTTCTGAGGAAGCGATTGATTCGTTCGAGTATTTTAGGAATTGGAAAACTATAATGCAGATTTATAGAGTATATGCAGGGGTTACATAATTATTTACCAACTGAATAGTAATGGAGTTCTAACTGTAATTAACTATAATTAAGTATTCTTAATCAACGAACTCCACCTGGGAAACTGAACCTTAGTTGCTTAGTTCAAGTGGAGTCTGATTAGAGGAGTGAGTGATGGGTATAAGTACGCTTATTGAGGAAATAGATTGATGGCCGACACAAAATATTCGAGAAATATGTCGGGACTACGGGTATACGGGTATATTTGGCAGGCAATAAATTCTCCTGTCGTGTATGTACATATATGCATGTACATATGTACATGGAAATCTGAATTTGATGACAATTCTAAGTCAGGATATTCAGAACTAATTTTAAAATCAAAATAAAAAGTATTATCATGGGAGCTTAGGAATCTTTTACATACATAAATACATACATACATATGTACATATATACACACATAAGGAAACAGATAGTAAGTAATAGTAAGTGACTCTGTGAAATTGAATGTATGGAAATGGAACATTTGGAGATGGAAATTATAAATTATGAGAGCTTAAAATCTTCGAATGAAGAACTTTATCTTCTGTGTCGTTATATTTATGGAATAAATAAATTAATTAAAAATAGAAAGGATCTTTTAGCATTAAAAAAAAACCGCCTAGCTATCATCCAATGAGCAGTGATCAGGGAAGTACGCAAAAGGCGCCTAATGTTGAGATTTTTGCCTTATGCGTTCAGGTGCCTGAGACCTACTTTTGAGTGCAGTTTTAAGCCGCTAACCGTTCTGGCTGTTGTTGGCTAATAAGTAAGATAGCTCAACAGCAACAACAGCAACAGCAACAACAACTGCAACAGACACCACTGTGAACTGTGTGGCATGCGGTTAGCGGCGGCGGCTCCGGGCCTGAATCGAAATGTGAAAATGTTGGCTAGTTGATAGTGGAAGCCTCTCGCTCAGCCCAGCCAAGTGGCAGCAGAAAAGTGAAGTGGAGTGGAGTAAAGTGATGGGTGAGGGGTGAGGGGAGGAGAAGGCAGGAATAGATATAAATATAGAGGTGAGGCAGTGGCAGTGGCAGAGGCAGAAGCAGAAGCAGGTGTCTGTGGTGGACTGTTCCACTCGCGAGTCGACCGACTTGCCAGGCTCTCTCAAGCAGATTAACAATGTGCACACTTTTCGCATACATATGTACATACATACCATACATATATGATTTCCCAGTCAAAACTGTCAACGGTGTCCGAGTCCGACTACCCTTGAAGCGAAGTCGTAGTCCCCAGTCTGAGTCCCCAGTCTTCCCCTGATTTTTCCACATTGCATGCAGCAATTTAATTGATTTTGCTGCCAGTTTCGGTTTCGGTTTCAGTTTCTATTTAGTATTCTTGCTTTTATTTGTTTACTTGTTAAGTGCTTTTAAACGTTATGCAAATTATGACAAATTACTATTAAATAGTCGTAATCGTGCGTTTGCAATTGATTTCTGTGAGTTCTGTGAGTTCTGTGGGGCTGTGATAATTCAGAGGGGTGCCAGGAAAGGTGTACGTGCGGCTAGCAGACTGTGAGGGTCGTAACTGTAGACACTTGTAGACTGATTTTAGACTGATTGTATATTGCATTCTATTTAAAATTTAATGGGTATTCCGAGTTGGTAAATGCTGCTAAATTTAGCTTAAAAACAAATAAAGTATCCATCCAGTGCCAGTTTTAGGCAGTGGAAATCCATTTTAACAAACGCCGCCTTGGCTCTGGCTCTAGCTCTGGCGTCATTAACTAATTTCGACAGACAAATTAATTTCGAGCTTATTCGATGCCAAATTCTCAAAAAACCCCAAAGATATTTGTGTGTATAACTTGACCAATGCTGTGACACGAAGAGAGATTAACGCATAGATGCTATAAAGTGTCTCTATGAATTATATATAACTTTCTACAGCCGAAACAGTGTCGGTTCTTTGTCAGTTTGTCAACTTGAATGCCGTAACTGGTCTTCCCTTTATATTCAGTGCTTATTTTTCAGCAACGCATCCCATAATCCCATAGAAATAAATGATCATAAAATTATTCTGCTATAGGGAAAGCTTCTACCCCACACACACACACACACACACACACACACCTACTAAAACGAAACGGAAATCAATCAAGCCAAACTTTATCTTTATATAATTGTCGCAGCTGTAGCTTTAGGAGACATTAACGAAAGTTTTCATGTTCCTCCATTTGTTCGTTTCATTATCTCTTTGTTCTCTTGAAGTCAACAATTTTGCTGCAATTTCACGGACAATTTTCACAGTTTTTGTTTTGGCTTGTGTGTGCGTTTGACTTGTGCCAAAATCAATTAACAAATTAAATTATAGCCAGAAAGCGCAGCTTAAATCAAAGAAATCGACTCGCAACCACTCAACCCACTGCAGCACAGATGGACCGCACCGACCCCCTTCTGTTTTGACATCCCGCTGTCAATTTTTCCAATCGAAATTTCTTTGATTTGAGACACAAGCCAAACGAACAAAACAGAAAATAAGAAAACAAAAACGCTCAAAACAAACAAAAAAAAACAAAACTTAAAATCGAGAAATAAAAATTAACTTTAATCTGCTGGCGGGGACAACAGCACAACCCACACACACACACACACAAGCATACTCTCTCACTCTCACAATCACAGTCGCAGTCACAGTCACAGTCAATCCCATTGACAGTTAGGTTTAGGCTCTGATTCGCTCCCTCTGCGGAGGGCCCACGCGGAGCGACTTGCCAACAAAATATAAAAGAAAAGGCTTTGCCCCAGTGCCGAACCTTTTGATACCCAAGCAATTCGATTATTTGGAATGTAATACTGAATATTAAGGAACAAATATTCAACACAATGTTGCGACATTTTGTGTGTTTTTTTTCCAACCTAAATTAAATTCAGATCTATGTCGAAAGCTACGCGCTACAAAGTTATGTTGTGTTCCCCTTTATCGATCTACTGATTTTTATAGCATAGAAAATCTTAAATTTTACAAGTGCTTCTAGTGTTAATGTTTTTTTGTTTGTTTCCTTCTTCGTCTGATTAGAGGCTGTGGCAATATCATTGCTTGGTTTCGCTACGTTAAAAACAAAAACAGAAACCAAAAGGCAGCTTTTAACGGCTTAATCGAAGCCCACCAGCTAACACAAAATACCCGTACAGGGGGAGAGAGAGCAGGAGACAAATAGAGAGAAGGAATGGGTCTGGGTATGGGTCTGGGTATGGGTTTGGGTATCAGCGCTCGCGTGTCACTTGAGACGCGTGCGAGCGACTGTTGTTGCTGTTGTACCGCTGCTGCTGCTGCTGCCTCTTCTCTTCTGCCGCTCGTTCTCATTCTGCTTTTGGCCCAAAAGGATCGTTGTCACTGGCTTATAGCCGCGTTTGAAATTGACCCAAAAGCTGGATTGCCTCGCCTCGCCTCGCCCTGCCCACTGAACTGTTCACTGATCGATCTGCAAAACGGGTGGAGGGGGGCGACGAGGGGCATGCATGCGAAATCACTTGAATCACATTTCTTTTACCGCCTCAATGCCTTCGTGCCCCACCATCAAGTGCCAAAGGATCAGCAACAGCAGCAAGCAGCAGCAGAAAGCAAACAGAAAACAAAAACAAAAGCAAAAAAATTGATTTCAAATTGAAATTGATATTTTGGGGGAATCATCTTTCATATGTGGCCGAATTTGTAGGTATTTCAAGAATGCCTGCCGCTCTTTGTTTGGCTTCCAAGCCCCTGAAAACGAGCCACAAGAAGAAGAAGCAGCGGCAGAAGAAGAAGCAGCAGACCGAGATAAAGATAAAGCCAAAAGCAAATCCACTTAATTCACATAATGCAAACCAAAATAAGCGAAATAAAAAATAAATAAATGCTCACGTGCGCCACGAAAATCGTCGGCAAAGCGAACCGCCACCAAGTTCGTTGCCCAAGTCTTTTGTTTTTGTTTTCTGCTGCGATGCATAGTCAGTGCAGTCGTTGGGAGTTGGATACCCTAGATTGATTGATTCCCTTGATTTACAGATCGCCATTGGATCTGCTCAGACATCATATGATACTTTTATTTCGCACTGGTGCAACTGGTGCAGTTGTGGAGAGCCCAATCCATCCCAATCCATCCCAATCCACATTCAGTTCGCACTCCACTCCAAGGGCATTCAATCGTCGTTGGATTTTCAGTGCCTCTTTTGCTCGTTTGATGTAAAGGAAATGTTAAATCATAGACCCAACTACATTATAACAACATTATAACTATAAATTATGGCTATAAATTATAATGCAGCCAACACGAGAGCCAAGTAACCGTTATATAAGGTTAGGTCCGGGAGCCTCTCTCTCTCTCTCCCTCTCCCTCTCCCTCAGCTCAGCTCTCTTTCAGTGCACTAAACGCCAACATTATCAAAATGTTGATAAACGTTTAGCCACGAAACAACAAAGAAAAGGAGAAACGGCCCAAAGAGTGGAGGCAGAACGATAGTTCCACAGCAGAAGGTGGTGCACGGAGCCGGCGAGGGTGCATCGCCTTTAATTAAAATGCAAAAAAGGCCAATTGCAAATGTGTTTCCTCCCTTCCCTTCCCTTCCCTTTCCTTCCCTTGCGCAGCTCTTTGGCTGCTTCTCATAGTTGGCTGCTGTTGATGTTGCGCAATTAAAATGCAAGCATAAATAAAATAAAAATAAAAAATTGCACAGACCAGAGACCAGAGACCAGAGCAGAGCAGGGCGAAAGGAGAGCGGCGCAGAGACAGACAGTGAGAGATAGCGCAAAAGGAAGTCGTCGCTGCACACTTAAGCATGTTTAATACAGTTTAGCCACAAGCACTTAATTACAAATGCGAATGACGAGGGGGGGGGGGGGCAGAGAGAGAGAGAGAGAGTATAGAGAGGGAAGAGAGCGAAGTGTGGAGTGTGGACCCGGTAGAGGGAGCACTACAAGCGCTATCTATGAGTATTCAACAGCAAAGTGTGGAACAGAAATTGCGGAAATGCTTTTGCAGCTCCAGACCTGAGAATGGATGTTAATGGAGGAGTACGGAGAGAGGGAGATAGAGAGAGAGAGATAGAGAGAGAGGGAGTGGAAAGACATGCCATATGGGGTGGATGGGGGGGTATAAGTATGGAGTATGGAGTATGGAGTATGGAGTGTGGAGTGTGGAGGCAGCACATCCACATCCACTGGAGCAAAGATGGGGAGTGGCCAGAGATTTCGGAGAGTGGCCGCAATGGGTTATTAGAGAAACATTCAAAACAAAGTAGAAAAGATTTCAACAGATTTTCAACTTGAACTCACTCAACCGTACACTGAGCGAAATTAACGGATACAAAATAAGCAAAAATAAGCAAAAAGAAACATTAACTTTGCATGCCCATACAATACACACGAAAATACATGCAGGCAAATTTATTTTCTTCACTTTATTTATCTTATTTATTTATATACGAACCAAGTTGCAGCCTAGGAATAATCCTACATAACAATTAATGTTCTTAGGCTGGTTTTTGTTCATTAATTTATAGAAGATACATACATATATGGCTGTACATATGTATTCCGCATACGAACAGATCATAGATTGAGAATTAATATTTGGGATTAGAATTTATTTATTGAGGTTTCTTTTATCCAGTATTAATTTGCACTGTGTGTAGGCCTAAACCAGAAGTTTATCTCTCAGCTTGCAACTCTGATCTGGGAAGGGAACGTATGTACATATGTACATCTTACAGTGCTCACTGTACAGGCTGCAGTGTACACATCCATCAATGTAATGCTGATAATTGTTTGTGGTTGTTGTTGTAATTTGTGCTCATAAACTGTTTAATTGCAAATTAGCAGAAGGCATTCGGACAGCGAAGCGGCAACAACAATGTTGCCACATCTGAACATGCGCTGTGGCTGTGGCTGTGGCAGTGGCACTAGCAGCGTTGCTTGCCAGCCAGTTGCTCTTGTTGCATGTGAGCTGGTCATAAAAAGAACTAAAAAGCGCGTAAATGTTGCAGAAAATTGAAAATATGAGAGATGTCCGTGAGTGGGTTATTTCTGCAAATGGGGAATAGAGAAGCAGAGGAATGCAATAGGAAATTACATACATACTCGTATGTACCCAAACTACACTCAGACAAATCATCAGTAGATAAATATGTACGAGTATATAGCTTAGAAATAGAAATTTAACTTTTACTGATGATCATCTCCCATTGTATTCCCACCCCTTTAGGTGGCAAAGACGATGATGGCGAGGACAGCCTGAAGAACGGCAGCTCCGCCAACGGTGACTCCTCCTCCCACCTGAGCCTCAGTCTGAGCAAGAAGCAGCGCAAGGCACGCACCGCCTTCACAGACCATCAGCTGCAGACGCTGGAGAAGTCCTTTGAGCGGCAGAAATACCTGAGCGTACAGGATCGCATGGAGTTGGCCAACAAGCTGGAGCTTAGCGACTGCCAGGTGAAAACCTGGTATCAGAATCGCAGGTGAGTCTCTCTCTCTCTCTCTGTCTCTCTGTCTCTCTGTCTCTCTGTCTCTCTGTCCAGAAGCGGCCTCCCTTTGAGGCTTTGTCAGGCCGCTTGATTGCCGCCAGTGCGGCACTCAGGCCAACTGGTCGCTAATCAGCGCCTTTAATGGGTTGCGCCCATTTCTTCGCGCACTTTTCCAATAAAAATCATTTTAATGGCGTCTACCCCCCCCCACACCACCCCATCACCAATGCTGCCGGTGCATCCCCCCAGTCCCAGTCCCTGCCTCTCTCCCAGGTATCCATTTTGTGTGGAGTGTTTTTATGCTGATTACTTAATTTGCTGCATTTTGCGCTGCGAGTCGTAAAATCTCGTCGGCTCTTTATTAAATGAGTTGTTTACTTTTTTGTTGCCATCATCGATGTGCGATGTGTTCGATATTCGATATGCGATATATGGAAGGCGCGTCTTCGCCTCTTTTCGCTCAGTGCAAGTTTGTTGCCTAAGTCTTTCGTACTGGCACTGGCACTGGCATTCGAATTCGAAATTCGAAATTCGAATTGAATTCTCAGTCACTTCCCCGTTCGCTGCTGCTGCGGCTGCTGCTGCGGCTGCTGCTGCTGTTTGCCTCATTACCCGAACGTTCTTTTTGCTTTGGCATTTTATTTTCGGTTTTTAATTATTGCCCAATGACTTGTCACTATTTCGATTTAACAACAACAACAACAACAACAACAGCTGTTTGGTATGGGGAATGGAAGTAGGGGAAAGGGAGTAGGAGTAGGGGCAGGGGCAGGGGCAGGGGTGGGGACTGGTGCAACACTTAGCTGAAAACGGAGAGCAGCCAACAAACATCTCGCGCACCTGACGGAGCAAAACGGAGCAACCGGATGCGAGCTGCTGTCTGGCAGACATCCCAGTCTGTGGGCTCTGAAACTGGAGTATACCTCAGAGTACGGGATTATATTTATTGTACATATTTTGCTCAGCTTAGATTGTTACTTTTGGCTCAAGGAAAAGCTTTAGTTAGTTTCTTTGGCATGCTCATAATTCAAGGGACTTTCATTAATTTCTCATAATTTATTTTAAATCTAAAAACTTTGAGAACAGCTCAGCTGTGCCCTTGGGAATTAAACAAGCGGCAGAGAACCTACTTAGGCGCGTTAAGAAAAACAAAAGTCGCTCCGTTATCCAGTGCCAAAGTCAACACATCCTCTCCTGCCCCTGCTGCTGCTCCTGCGACCCTCCTCCTCCTTCTATGCCGTTCCGGATAGAAACACTTCCCAGCTGCTTTCCTTTCCCTCACTCGCTCGCCTTTTGGGCGATGAATGCGCAAAAAAGTGTTTAAAAAACTCGACCCTCATTCCCTCATTCCCTCAGTGCCGGCTCGACCTGGTTCTAATTCTAGTTTCAGTTGCAGTCAAGGGCCTGGCGCCCTCAAAGCAATTAAAGGATTTGCAAAAAGCAGATCTAGCGCGGGGCGGGACGCCCCTGACGCTGTCAATTAGGGCTCGGTTTTACGTTTTCCGTTTTCCGTTTCGTTTGCCGTTTTTCGTTTGCCGTATTTCAGTTTAGAGTTTTGGATATTATTATTTTTTGTCGGTGGGCTGGCACAAGATTAATGACAAAACAATTAAGTGCGAAATATAAACAGTCGGGGAGGACTGCTCAGGCGCCCCGTCGGGATGTGCACTCGAGGACTCCGGGACTCGAGCGGTGACTCGGCAGAACTCGTACTCCCCGGCCATGATTAATGGAGGAGGAAGACAGGACTCGCTGCCATTTGCGGGGCTTTCTCTTGTTGCTCTCTCTCTCTCTCTGCTTCATCCACTCTATCTTCAGCATCATCTTCATCGTTCTCTTCTTGTTGTTTCCTCGATTGCAGAACCAAATGGAAGCGACAGACGGCCGTGGGCCTGGAACTGCTTGCGGAGGCTGGAAACTACGCGGCCTTCCAGCGCCTGTACGGAGGTGCCACGCCCTATCTGAGTGCCTGGCCGTATGCGGCGGCCGCTGCCGCCCAATCACCCCACGGCGCCCCGCCCTCGGCCATCGATATCTACTACCGCCAGGCGGCTGCTGCAGCGGCCCTGCAGAAGCCCGCGATGCCCGCCTCCTACCGCATGTACCCCACCAGTATGCCGCCGGGCATGTCGCTCCCAGGGATGCCCCCGCCGCCACCCGGCGCTGCTCCAATGCTGAGCGGCTATTACGCGGCCGCCGCGGCAGCCGCCGCCACTGCTCAGCCACCGCAGCAGCAGCAGCAGCAGCAGCAGCTGATCCCGCCGCGGGACCGTTCGCCGGCCACCAGCCAGAGCGCCAACAGCGAGGCGGACTGCGAGCGGGGCAGCAGCAGCAGTCGCCAGCGCCTGCTCACGCCCAGTCCGCCCCTCAATCCGGGCAGCCCGCCGCGCCGCGACCGCGAGCGGCTGAATGAGGTCGAGGATCTCCCAGGGGCACCGCTCAAGCTGCTGCGATGCTCTCCCCTGCCCGCCGACGAGGAGCACAGGAGCGGTGCCGAGCAGGAGAGGGAGCGGGAGCGGGAGCACGACGACGAGGACGACGATGAACTGGCCCTGGAGGTCTGATGCGCTGGCCAAGGGCTCCTCTCTAAGCTGGATCTCACAAACAGTCTAAACATCATGGGGCACACTCGTATCTAGGACCTACGGAAATGTCGGGGGAATGTTTTGCTTTAGTTTTTTTTCTTCTGTTGCTAAATATTACGTAAACTTAACTGAATGGAGTATTTAATTTGGTCATCAAATGTTGAATAATTACAAAATAATATCTAAAAAAAAAGATAAGGATACCAAATTTAAATGTCAGTGCAAGGTTTGATTAGAATTAAAAATTTGGTAGTTTATTTGCTGAATATTTTCTGGTTTGGAGCAGCAAGCAAATTGCAGAAACAATTTTGTTATTTAAAAAATGCAAAAACCATAAAATTTATTTGTAACATTTAACATTTAACTCCGAAAAGGAAATGGCTTGAAGCGTTCGCAGTATTAACCGATTTTCCCGCTTTCGTCTGTCTCTTTGGAACGGCCCCAGTAATTGTGAAGAGAAAACAAAATACTTTTTTTTTATAAATATAAATTTAACTTTAAGCGAACTTAGACTAGAGAAAATGTTGTAAATTTTTGTAAATGATTTTTGTACATACGAAGCAGACCAACAACAACAGCAGCAGCAGCAACAAAAAAAAAAACAAGAAAAAAACAATTTTTTTTTCCCAAACAATAATTTTTTTTTTTACCTTTTTTTGTGCCTAGTCTTAAGACGTCTATTGTGTGTAGTAATAATAAAGCAAAGAAAAAAAGAGCAATCCAAAAATGAAAGAGCGAACTGGCCTTTGTTTTCCAACTGTTCTTTCTGAAGGAGGCTGAAGGAGGCCGCGATGAAGGACTTTCCCCGAGCCTGAGCCTAATGCGAGCTGACACACGAGCAAGGCAAGCAGCAACCGGCAACGCGACCACAAAGGGAAACAACCCAAGGGGCAACTTGATAGGGGCACTCGAAAAACTGTTGCACTTTTTGGCCTGGGAAGCGTCTGTGCTCCATTTAACTGCTCACTTAGAAATTGTTAACATTTGCCAAGAGCCCAAGAGCCCAAGAGCCCAACAGCCAAGAGAGAGTCGGCAAGACGCCGCTCGCTTTTCCGTTCGAGTGCCGGACGCCGAAACGCTTTTAATTGACTCGCCCAGAACAACCCTGCTGACGCGTCGATGAAGGGCCATTTGAGCTTGATGGCGATGGCAGCGTGCTGCGATCAGTGCTAGCACTGCTAGTATCGGTGCAATTGATGCTATGATTGAGCTTCGTGGAAAGCTCTGTGCAGCGTTGCATTGGCTGGCAGCCTAATCTGCGCTGTCTTACCTCTCCGAGCTCCCAAAGAGTTAATCGAACTGTAGATTCCACCCAAGTATAGTTCTCAATGGCAATTATTTCAAATACTTTTATCGTCGTGAGTCTATGGCCTCCCGACTTCTCTGATCTTGAGTCTCGAAGGGGTGCGTTCCCATCACGCTGCCATCTCTAGCTGGTGGTACGGGGAGTGGAGTACCTACCCCGTTGCTGTTTGTTTTGCCTGTTTACATGCCGCTTGCCATTTTCGCTACTTTTATGACAATTTCAATTTTTGCATTCTGCCTTCTCCCCTCTCTGCCACTGCCACTGCCAGCGCCTGGGCCAGCGCCTGGGCCGTTGCCAATGTTAATGTTCTAATTTATGGGGTTGCGGCTAAGCGAATTCAATTTGCGTTGCCGTCGAGTGCCGGGCCGGGCCGCACAACCCCTACGAGCAATCGGCTACTCAATGCCGTATTCCTCATCCAAATCCAAATCCGAATCAATGTCGACTTTTGGGACGGACGGACGGACGGACCGACGGACGGACGGACTCTCTCACTGCGTGAAGTGGCTGCGTCGTCATCCAAGTCAAGTGTCGGAGGGTTCCGCGATTTGTGCGTAGAATTTCCTGGGAGTCATCGACGACAACGACGACGACGTCGCCGTCGTCGTCTGCATAACGCCTCTGTAACAAATTGATTATTCGGTGCGGTGCGGTGCGGTGCGGTTTTCCTTCGGTTTCAGTTATTCTTTCTCTATATATTCTACGAGTATCTACAGTCCCCACAGTCCACAGTCGTTGGTTGTGTTTTTTTTTTCGCATCGATTTGATGCGATTTTTATGAGTGCCTCGAGCGAGGAGTGGAGTGGAGTGGAGTACTTATAAATTTATGAGTGGCCCGTCAAATCGTCCGACCGTGCGAAAGTTTTCACTGAGAACGCAGCCACAATGCACAGGCCAGTTTTGGGCATGGGTAGTGGGTGGTGGGTGGTGGGAGGTGGCGCGTTGGCTTAGCTTCAAATTTGCATATTATTGTTTTCATCTCACAGATGATTGGGCAAACAAAGTGTCAGTGGGAACCCTCGCACTGGACCCCAAAAAAAGGAGGCTGCAAGGATGCGTAAATTGGGGTAAAATCTGACCTGTGCAAATATGAAAATACAATTTTTGGCAACATAATTGCATTCAATTGGTTTCTAATATTATATTTATGTACATATATTGATGCCAATAAGAAATGGGTTCATGCACCCCAAGAAAAGGCTACACAAATTTGAAACGAATCAGAATCCTTTATGAGAACCTAACGACTCCACTAACACATCCTGAATTCATCCTGAACGTGCTTTTCCCATGGCACTTAGCGGCCTAGATCGCCGAGACTGCATTAGGGGTCTGCAAATGAGGTCAGGGCTCTATTAGCGTTTATTTTTCTTGTGGATAATTCGGTAAAGGAATGCAAAGTCATGGACGGGGAACTCCGTACATATACCAACTAAATTATTTCCAGCCTAATTGATCGCAAAGGTAAAATAAATTTTATATACATATACTTTTTCTGGATTTCTTTTATGGTATTGTTTTTTTTTTTAATAATTTAAAAAAATGTTTTATTTTATTTAGTTGTTTATTTATTCAGATGCAAGCTTCAGTTGAAGAAGAATTTTCATTCATCATTAATTTCAAATATCAAAAATCTGTATCAAATGATGTCAAAAGGAAATCTACTTTCATATTAATTATACGAATTATGTACATATGTATGTACATATGTATGTATGTATGTATGTATGTATGTATGTATGTAATTATTACTTATTGTTTTAAGGTTTCTCAAAGGGAATACCAGAGCATATACGTATATGGAGTTCTGTTAAAATTCCATTGCAAATAAAAATAATATATAAAGAAAATAAAAGTAAAATAAAATAAAATGTAACTTAAAGTTAAGCAGCATTGACTTTAATAGTTGAGCATTTATTGCAGCATTTCTATATTTCACTCCTACTCTGTAGTGCTTCATCCCCATGCCCTGACAGACAATTCCCATCGTTTTTTATCACTCGTTTGAATGATTGCCTCTATTGTACGCGTAAGTAATTCCTTGCTACGTTTCCCTTCCAAGTTTGCCGAGCTGCCACTGCCACTGGCACTGCCACTGCCACTGGCTTGGCTTCTTTTGTGCATCCGAGCTGACAAAGTGCTTTCACACCGGAAGCAATTGCAATGCGTTCGCCGTCGTCCCACATCCACCCACATCCCATTGCCATTGCCCTTGCCATTGCCTCTCTCTGCTCCCCGTTCCTAGGACTTTCACATCTGAATTGTTGTCGCAATCTTTTCCAGCTAATTGACAACTTTCTGCTTAGGGTCCCCGCCATCGACTTGGCTTTCGTTCTCTTTTTTTAATGCTGCTATCGACTTCTTTGTGAGGCTAATTTGTCACAGGATGCAGGCGATTGTGGGGGATTGCAAGGATCAGCAGCAGGAGCAGCAGGAGCGGCATGGGATGGGATGAGAGATGCTGCTTCATTACACAGGCAATTTGTTGCGCACAAAGAGCGCAGCTCGTAACGGAACAGGGCTGAACCGAACCGAACCTTACCGAACCTTACCGAACGGAATGGAATGGAATGGAATACGAGTGGAGTGTGGAATGGCGTAATGCGGGGGTTGAATGGCTGAGCTTGGAGCTTCCGATAGTAATAAATTTGTGCGCTTAAATGCGTGTGTTTATCGAATTAGACGCTGCCGGAAGGAGGAAGGAGGATGGGTCCACGGGCCCAAGTACAGGAAGTTGATGGAAATTTATGTGCCAAAAGGGGGTCAAAGGGTATCGTATCGTATCGTATCGTAGTCCCCTTCTGATGCTGGACACAAGGTTGTGTCAATACGTTCATCGCCGGCACCGCACCCCAAGCAAAGCTGCCCCCTCCCACTGCGGCTCAGTGCGGACCAGCGGATCCCATCTGACGTTGCCTTTAAATTATTGTAAATGGGCTTTGTGGCGCCAGGGATCAGAAAAATCGATTTTTCGGTCGTCGCCGCCAGTTAAACGCTGCCAAATTGCTGCACTGCACTGCACTGCACTCCACTCCACTCCACGGTAACTGGTCGCTCACTGGCCGGTGGCCGCGGTGGAATCAGTGGCACTCGGCATTCAGTGGCTCCGGCGGCGGCGGCTACTGGTTTTTGAACCTGCCTCTGCAAGCGGCACCGTCGTACAGCCCGGCCTGCCCCGGCCCGGCCCGGCCCAATTTGCATGCGTTCGATTTGCAATTCGCTCTGCAATTGCATTTGCGGTTGTCGGTTGTCGGTTTTCGGTTTTCGGTTTTTCAATCAATTCTAACTGTGCAAACTGCAAAAGGCAATCAGACGTGCCATGAAACATACAGCCTGGCCATTCGTGCTCGACTGAGCGCCTACCCTGCAAAGACAGGCAACTCACATAGAGCCGTGCCTTGGGTTTTATTATTCTTAGAGTAGATATAGTAGAAGTAGTTAGCTCCGGTCTCTCGTTTGTCTCCACTCCCCTGTGTTCAGTAAAAGTAAAATAAAAAACAGACTAAGGTTCAGCTGGTTATTCCCAAAATGGGAATCCCTGTGAAGCTTATTTATGGTATAAAATCTATTACAAATACATTGGCCAGGATTAGCCCAGGAGCTGCCCTGCTCAAAGCAGAACGGAAATATTTAACTATCGAGCTCCGCTATGCATGCATCCTAGAATATATGAATAACACCCATATTCTCAGTTATTCTTAGTCCCATTCTATACTCATATCTCAGCCATTTCTAGCCTCATATGACCCAGCTACAGGGTACTGGCAAAAGTTTCATTTCGCAGCCTTCGCAGGGCACACGCCAATGTCAAAAGGTTCTCACAGCCGACCGAAGATGATGATCATGATGCGATGATGGGTGAGAGAGACCGATACGATGCGATGCGATGCGATACGATATACTCGGACTCGTGTATCGCAGTAAGTCGATACTTTCTGGCGTTTTTTTTGTTGTTTTTTTTTTTCGTTGTTGTTGCTGGTCGGGGCCAAGTGCCGTTAGCTTTTGTTGACCGTGTGTGGTCCCCAGGATTGGGTTCAGCGCCGTACAGGACTGCAAGGCGCCAAAAGTCAAGCTTTTGTTTGCCTTTGACGAGAGTGCGGCACGTGGTGCACATTCGGAGTGGAATGGAATGGGCTCAGGGTTCTGGGTTCTGGGTTCTGGGCTCTGGGTGTGGATTAAGGGGGTTGGGGGACAACTGAAGTGTGACTAAACTGTGCCCGCGGCTATGTAAATTGTTCGTGCTAGTTTCGGCACAGTCCTGCCCCGCGGCATGTCCATCAGTCAGTCAGTAAGTCAGTCACTCAGTGCAGGACCAGAGCCTGAGTCCTGAATGGACCTCACGCTGTGCTCAAAATGCATTTTGGGCTGGAAACAAAGGCCAGGCCAGGCCAGGCCAGCCGAGAGCCAGAG